TGTGGTTAGGAGCGTGATGGGGCTGGCTGTGGGGCGGGACCCACATTTGGGGGGCTGGGTTGCTTTCTTTGGGGGGTTTCGGGGGTTATTTTGAGGGTTTCTCCTCTTTCCGGAGGAGCTCTTGCTCCTCAAACCCCAATTTGGGGTTTGGGTTTTGGGGTTTGTGTCTGGACCCACATTTTGGAGGAAGATGGTGAACGCTGTGGGGCTGGACCCACACTTGGGGGGCTGGGCTGCTTTGTTTGGGGGGTTTGGGGGTTTATTTTGAGCGTTTCTCCTCTCTCCAGTGGGGCTCTTGCTCCTCAAACCCCAACTCTGGGGTTTGGGGCCTGGTCCCATGAGCTTTGTGGGGCTGGACCCACATTTTGGGGGCTGATAGTGAGCGTTATGGGGCTGACGGTGAGCGCTGTGGGGCTGGACCCACACTTGGGGGGCTGGGTTGCTTTCTTTGGGGGGTTTCGGGGTTATTTTGGGGGTTTCTCCTCTCTCCGGAAGAGCTCTTGCTCCTCAAACTCCAACTCTGGGGTTTGGGATCTCGTACCATGAGCTCTATGGGGCTGGACCCACATTTTGGGGCCTGATAGTGAGCACTGTGGGGCTGGCTGTGGGGCAGGACCCACACTTGGGGGGCTGGGTTGCTTTCTTTGGGGGGTTTTGGGGGTTATTTTGGGGGTTTCTCCTCTCTCCGGAAGAGCTCTTGCTCCTCAAACCCCAACTCTTGGGGTTTGGGGTCTCGTACCATGAGCTCTATGGGGCTGGACCCACATTTTGGGGGCTGACGGTGAGCGCTGTGGGGCTGGCTATGGGGCTGGACCCACATTTTGGGGGCTGACGGTGAGCACTGTGGGGCTGGCTATGGGGCTGGACCCACACTTGGGGGGCTGGGTTGCATGATTTGGGGGGTTTCAGGGTATATTTTGAGGGTTTCTTCTCTTTCCGGAGGAGCTCTTGCTCCTCAAACCCCAACTCTGGGATTTGGGGCCTCATACCTACATCTGTAGGGTTGGACCCACATTTTGGGGGCTGATGGTGAGCGCTGTGGGGCTGGACCCACACTTGGGGGGTTTTGGGGTTTATTTGGGGGGTTTTGGGGTTTATTTGGGTGGTTTCTCTTC